TTGAAGCGGCTCTGAGCTTTCACTCCTTCATCTCCTCCATTAAAGCGTACTTCGGCTCTCCATTGGAGCGGCTTTTGAGCTTTCACTGTTGAGGTAATTTACATTTTATAGTATCTGACTATCTGTGGTTTTTTCGGATTTGTAATTGTTTTTTTTTCCTGATTTTTTTATTGTGGTACTATTATTTTATTTTTTTTGTTTTTTTAGAGGAATGGTACTTATTTTGGTTTTCAGAATTGAAGTTTGTTAGATTTGGATGAGTGAGTAAGGTGAGATTTCTGTTTTTGATGTGGAAATAAGGTTGTTGAGAACAAACCAGGATTTAGAGTGATGTTGCTAAGCATCTATAGTAGCTGTGTAATAATGTTGTTGAACATCTATAGTGTTGTGTGATGGCTTCCTATGTGTTGAGCATCTATATTCTATAGTGTTGTGTGATGGCTTCCTGTGTGTTGTTGCTGAGCATCTAGATTATATTAGGTAACTAGGTATGACTTGAGTTATATAGTTGCATCAGCACTTCAGTAGTAGACTATAGTTGCATAAAAAATCAGTAGTAGACTATAGTTGTCTTGATACTTGATAAGTTGATAGGAAATTGAAGTATCACTCCTGTTTTGCACATTGCTGACATTGTGGATTTTTAATTTTTTATCAACCTTTCTTGGATTTGTAATGGATAATGGGTAAGCCGTAAGCATATTGATTTGGCATGTCTATCATTGACTCATTGTTATAAGATGAACATAACGCCGTAAAGTTGACTCATTTGTAATGGATAATGGGTAAGCTGTTATATGTAATGCTACTAATGCATGTTGTAGAACACCGCAATTACCCAAATTAAAGGAGAATGTATATAAGTTGATTGAACTATATGCAGTTTAAGTAATACATATTTTATTCCACAATTGTTGTTATGTCCTAACGAAATATGGATGAAATTGCCTGCTATGATCATCTACCTGAAATATTCTGTAATGCATGATTGATTTGTCAAAATTGTTTTGGGTGTTCTGTTTTTATGTTGTTGTATTGTTTAACAGAATTGAGTAATATTCGTTAGCTGGAATTTGGTTTAACAGTAACTTGTGTTGCTGTGTACAACTGTACATCATCTTTTGGACTCATTTTCAGTAATACTTGCCTAAGGTACTGCAAGGCTCACAGAGTGATTATATGATGTAGTTGTATCAATAGTTTTTTTAATTCACTTGCTTGTCTGAGATTTTATGATTGTGTATTTGTGTGACGTGGAAAAGTGTTTGTCCTGTATGTTTCTAGTAGACATATGTCCTAGATGTTCACCCTTTCAACCCTCGTATAGCTATGACTCATTCTTGTTATTTGTGTATACATGATTGAACTTATTTGTTTTTTTTTCATTTGTAGGAGTATGGAATCTGGAAGTAGTGGGGATATGGAAGACTCATCGGCTACAAGTCAAGCTCCTCCAATTCCAAGTCCTCCTCCCGAGCCTTGGGAGTATGACCCTTGTCCAATGACGGAAAATAATGACTCCTTTGACCAGCAAAATACATCATACCAACCTTCTGAGCCTACTGATGTTGCTGCCCCCTTAAGTGAAACTTCATAAAAAACTAAAAAAAGGCGCTCTCCTCATTGGGAGCATTTTATAAAGAAGGATGGAGAAAACAAGGCTGAATGTATCTATTGTCATACATTCATTGGTTGTGCATCACTTCAAGGTACTTACGGCATGAAGAACCACATAAAGAGGTGTAAGGAATACCCCCCAAACATTGATCAAAATCAACAACTATTGTCCCTTGGTCAATAAACTCTTGATGGGAATCTTGTGGATAAAAAAAAAGGTAGACTTGACCTGTGGAAATTCAATCAAGAAGATAGTAGGAAAGCTCTGGAAAAGATGGTGATCATGGATGAAATGTCTTTTCGAATGGTGGAGCATGAAGGTTTTCGCAACTTTATGAAAGTAACACAACCCTTTTTCATTATTCCTTCTCGATGGAAAGTGACTAGAGATTGTTTTAGGATTTATTTGGATGAGAAAAAAATTTGAAAAGTTTTTTTAGCAAGTGCACTTCACGTATAAGTCTCACCACTAATACTTGGACTTCTTGCCAAAATATGAATTACATGTGTTTAGCCGCTCACTTTATTGACCAAAACTGGAAATTGCACAAAAAAATAATTAACTTTTGTATAATTGTTGGTCATTCTGATGAAACAATTGGTAAATCTGTCCAAAAGTGTCTACTTGAATAGGGTATTTCTAGAGTAATGACTGTCACTGTAGATAATGCAAGTTCAAATGATGTTGGCATTCAATATTTGAAAAGAAGGTTTGAAAGTTGGAAGACATTAGTTTTGGGTGGTCGGTTCTTACACATGAGATGTTGCGCTCACATATTAAGTTTAACCGTTAAAGAAGGATTGAAAGAAAGTGATGTGTCAATAAAAAGAATTCGTTGTGCAGTTAGGTATGTAAGATCATCGGGTGCTAGATTGCAAAAGTTTATGAGTTGTGTTAAACAAGAAAAGTTGGAGTCAAAACGTTTTCTTTGTTTAGATGTGGATACTAGGTGGAATTCCACTTTTTTAATGCTGGAAGGTGCTTTGGCATATCGTAGGGCTTTTGATTTTCTTGAATGTTCAGATGGTGGTAAATTTAGGTATGAGTTACTTAAGTCAGGCGGGGTGCCTGAACCTAGTGATTGGGATCGTGTTGCCTCTTTTCTTCCTTTACTTAAAATATTCTGTGATGCTACTCTACGAGTTTCCGGCTCGTTGTATATCACCTCTAATGTGTATTTACAAGAACTTGTTGGGATTAGTGTGTTAATCAAGAAAAAAATGTTGAGTAATGATGCGGGGGTGAGTTTAATGGCTAGTGGAATGAAGAAAGAGCGTGACAAATATTAGGAAAATGTTGATAATGTGAATCTCTTGTTGTATATTGCTGTCATTCTTGATCCTAGGCGGAAAATGGGATATACTAAATGGGCAATTAATCAACAATATGATTCTGAAAAAGCTAAGTACTTGTGTGATAAAGTGATGCAAACTTTGAGTGACATGTATGAACTTTATATTTCTGAAAACCCTCCAAATGAGTCTTTTCCCCCTAAAACTTCTGATTTTCCGGAGGAAGTAGAAGATATGGATTCTGATGTAGATGTGGCGGAATTAGAGTTTGAAAAGGAGAAGGCTTCATGTGTTGGAGTACAAGGGAAAAATGAGTTGGCCAAGTATTTAGAAGATGATAGAGAAGTTAATCCTGCCGGAAAAAGCTTTGATTGTTTGGGGTGGTGGAAAAAATATGGTGAAAGGTATCCAACAATAGCTCTCATGGCTAGAGATGTACTTGCCATTCCCGTATCAACAGTCGCTTCCGAATCAGCTTTTAGCACCGGTGGTCGAGTGCTTGATTCATTTCGCAGCTCACTCTCAACTAAGATGGTTGAAGCCTTGATTTGTGCACAAGATTGGTAACGTACATCTCAAGGTCCTCTTATACTTGAGGAGAGACTTAAAGATATGGAAAAAATTGAATCAGGGTACAATTAAATATTTTCTCTTTTTTTTAATCCCATTATCTTGTTAATTATTCATTAACTTTTTTTATTTTTATTTTTTTTGAAGAAATGTTACCTCTTGGTGAGGAACATTCTCTCTTTGTTGATGATGATTAGAGGTAGCAACTTATAATCATGAAGGTTGGCAGTGATTGTATTGAAGGCTGGAAGTCATTGAAGGCTTGGAGTATTTTATGAATTATGATTACTATGGACTGTTTTTGTTTTTAAAACTATAAAATATGGAATTGCTTTTTGTTATGTACTGGTTTAACTATGGACTTTTTTTTTAAAGAAACAGTATGTTTGTATCAAGTATTTGTTCATTTGTAATCGGGTTGATGTGTTGTGTTATATGTGTATTCAGGTTTAAAATATTAGCCTATTAGGCTGTTATTTGTTACAAAAAATTCATTGTACTAATAACAATAATTAATACTAGAAAAATAGGTGGAAGTTTGAACAAAAATTACTAAGCAGGTGGGTACAAGGAGGAGTTCAGGCAGCCAGGCAGGAGAGGTGAGGAAGCAGCAGCCTCAAGGACAGGGATTGGTAGGCTGCCAAAGCTTAAGGCGGCGATTTTTGTAATTATTTTTGTTATTTATGTATTTAAGTTCAATTGTTATAGTTCAAAAAATAGGAAGTTAAAAAAAACTAGTAAAAAAAAGCATCTAAAAACGAACTGCAAAGCAGGTTTTAAATAAATAAAAAGACCCAAAAAAAATATTATGCTTATTGGTTCGGTTCGGTTTTTTGGTTCGGGTACCCGTATTTTCGGGTATCCGAATTTACGGGTACCCGAACCTTATCGGAACGGTTTTGGGAATCGGTTTTAGCCTTAACGGTTATCGGGTACCCGAATCAATAACGTTATTGGAACGGGTACCCGTCTCATGCTCTCCCCTAGTCCTAATAGCTATCTAGATAGATTAACATTAATTACATTGATCTACGCGTAATTTTGTTATAAATTATTAACTTATTTCATAATAGGAGGTATATTTAATGTTTATACGGCTACATATAACATTACAAATAAAAAAAATAAAAATAAGAAAGCTGGTCTTTATTACTGTAACAAATGCTGCGTTTTCCGAACTCCAGTGTCTGAAGTCTTAACCCAACAACATATGATATACACGCTCTAATCAAAACTAAATTCTCAATTGTACTACATCACACGCGCTGTAATTGTGGTGGTTAAATTTTTTTTAACCTCTGTAATTATCCTGACATGGGGTAGATTTTTTCTGTCCATATTTATTCGTTCCATAAAACACTCCTAATAGTCCTAACAGACTAGTGTGAGACTGAGATTATAAATTCAGTCTTCCCTAAAAAAAAAATTATAAACAGAGTGAGAAATTGAAGTAAATTTTGAAACAAAGAAATTTCAATTGATTTGTTATTGGGTGGCATTGTTGGTTTCTCTGAAATTGAATGGCGAAGCAGAAAGTGTCGCGGAAGAAGCAGGAGAAGGAGACGGAATTAGACTACCATAGATTCAAAGCTTTTGCAGGAATGGCGGTTGATGTTGCAAAGAAGCATTCTGATGTATACTTCTTTCCTCAAGGGTTCTTAGAACAAGCTTCAACCCCAGCTTCTTTCTCATCAATGGTGACTTCCAGACCTTATGTGGTTTGTCGTGTTGTTGATGTTACTTATTGGGCTGATCCTGTTACTGATGAAGTTTTCGTCAAGTATCGGCTTATGCCATTGACTAACATTCATGTCACGGGTAATTATAATGGTAATGGTAATGGAGATGATGAAGGGGGTGATAATGGTAATGAGGTTGATTCGTTCGTCAAGTGTTTAAGCATTTCGGATGCGAACAATGGTGGTGGATTCTCCGTTCCGAAGCTTTGTGCTGTATTCATTTTTCCGGCGTTGAATTTCGTAGAGGATCCGCCGGTGCAGACACTCAGAATTAGTGATGTTCATGGAGTTAAGTGGGTGTTTAGACATATTTACGGGGGGACGCCTAGGAGACACTTGTTGACCTCTGGTTGGAACACGTTTGTGGATAGCAAGTATCTAACTTGTAATGATTCTGTTATTTTTGCCAGGAATAAGGTCACAGGGGAGCTGTCTGTTGGGGTTCGAAGGCATTTTACGCCGCTGTCCAGACTTCCTAAGGAATATGTGCCCAAACCCCCAAGACTTGCCCGAGTTTGTGGTGGAAGCTCACAAGGTGGAGCAGGCTTGCAGAGTGAACTGGACTTCTGGAACCCGGGTTAAATTTCCCCAGAATGCCGGAGATGGAGGGCCGATGGTGACGTGGTTTAGTGGGACGGTTACTTCCGTGGTGCCTAGTCCTAATGACGGGCCTTGGCCTGGTTCTATGTGGCGGATGCTTCAGGTATTGCCATTGCTTACCTTATTCATCTATCTATTTATGTTTATATGTTGCTATGTAATACTATCAAATAATTAAATGTTTATGTTATATGTTGGCAGTCAAATAATTAGTCCACATGATATGCAGTTGATTGTAAGTGTTTCGGGTGAAAACAATGGGACCTTGCCGAAGGTCCGCTGAAACGGAGAAGACTGGATTCGGTCCGAGTTATGCTGGGCCGAAGGTTTCCTGCACAGTAAACACACGTAAACTAGCCTTGGGGGTGTTGCCGAGGAAGGCCCCTCCGATGCTAAAGTCAGTACAATGTGTTGAAAGAGAACACTATGCAAGAGAATTAGTTGCTTGAGGCTTTGCTTGAATATATGAGAATATATGAATCTATGAATCAATACCTGAATGTATGAATATTGATGGCTTTTATACCTCTTCATACATGGAGAGGTTGGGCCTTAGCCCAATTGGCTTGCTTTGAGGGATGACCTTTGACTTTAGCACAATTGGAGAGTTGAACCTTGACCTTGGGCTTTTAATTGGATCATTTAATGCCTAGGCCCAATTGGACTAAATTGGACCCAAACAGTAAGTATTGGGAATAATGTATATGTTAGTTGTTGGTATGTTTTACTATCAAATAATTAGTACGTCCACATGAAATGCAGTTGATTCTAGGATTGGAAATAGGAATTCTATGGATGTTTGTGAGGGGAGGGGTTGAGATGAGTGTGCTCATTGGCTGTTTTAAAGAGGTATAATTTAGGAACATGTCATTCAAGTGTCTTAAGGTCTTACATGGGTTGTACTTTTGAAAGGTGTTGTAAGTTAATATCACACCAAATTGATCTCATATTCTTATCTTTAAATGGAGCTCGATTGTGGAGTAGAACTAGCAAGAATACCTGTCAAATGACGTAGACTGTCTTTTATGAGGTCTAAGGGACAGTGACTTTGGCTATCCTTACTCGAGGAGTGGTATGATACCGCATATTCTCAATGTTATTGCTATGGATTTATACTGCTGGAATAAGTAAAACCAATGCTGACGGGAACATCTTTTGTAATGGGTCTGTCTCAATTAAAACCATGTTTGACCATTAGACAGATACTTCATGATTCTATCTTGATTCTTGACTTCCATGCTTGCGTGTTTGCTGTGACTATTTTGGGTAATCTGCTTCATATAGTTTCTTATTAATCACTTGAGGGATCAGATGTAGAGTTAAGAGATCACGAATCAGATGCAATAGTAGCGCTAGGAACAGTATGGAACGTTTCACATGTTCCCATTGATGTTTTCTATTGTCCCTGAATAAATTGTAAAATGACCAGATGCCATTCTTGTAGAAAGTTTCTGATGTTCCCTGTTGATGTTTTCTAAAAGTATGACATTCGGCTTTAAATGATAATTGTGGTAAGGGTGTAAGGCATTCATTATCTAACTATCTGAGCAGACAGATATTGTCGTGATGATTACCATGTGTCAACCTAATAATTTTGTCAGGCTTGTTCTTGATACATCATTTGTGTGGAAGTAAAGTATACACAGTAGCAGTGCTGTTGATAAATTTTCTATACTTCCTAATCCAATTTGTAACGATAATGAGAAAGGTGGTTTGGTGTGTGTGTGTGTGTGAGGGGGGGGGGGAGGTCTCAAAGGTTATTAAAAAAATGACTTCACATTCCTATAAATTATTTAGTGTTATGGAGCAAGTGTATAAATAGCTTTTGATCTAACAGTTAATTTGTGGTAATAATGCCAAATGGATGCTCTCAAATATTTTTTTAATATTTTTATTTTTTTTTCTGACTTTTAGAGAAGTCTTGCATTCACTAGGCATCAGTGCATTCAACCAAGACATCATTGTATGAACTATTATGACACTCTTAATATTGTTGTTAAAGTTGCTTGTTTTATGTGCAACGAGCTCATGCAGGATATTGATGTTTCTGCTTGGGGGCGATCCTTGCATGCCTTGTGATCATGCCTTTATCCATGTTTCTGTGGTACAAGCATTGTAGCTTACCAGTAAAAGCAATGTTTATGGCCTTCAATCAAATTATCAAGTTAATTTGTTGGGATTTGGGATGTGAAAAAATAAAAATACTCTGTAATGCTGTAATATTCTTTCCAGGTTACTTGGGATGAGCCAGAGAAGTTGGAAGAAGTAAGGATGCTTAGTCCATGGCAAGTGGAGTGTATTGCTCCAACACCACCACCTACTATTCATGCTGCATTTAATACCCCTGCCAAAAGGCTCAAGGGTGTGCAGAACTCTGCTCTACTAGCTGATGGGAAGGGAGATATCTACTTTACTCCTCAACTCGGATTTGGTTCACTGGTGATGGACCAGTTAAGTCCATCCTATATGAATTACAACATTTTTCCCGCAGGCATGCAGGGAGCCAGGCAATTTCCTAGTATTTATCCATCTAATTCACCTACAATCATGAATGACGATTCTCACCAGGGGCGCACTGATGATAATTTGGACAGTAGTATGTCACAGAAAGTGGAAGGTGTATCCGCTGACCTGAATATTGCCAGTTCATCCTCTGAGACACCTTCATTTGACAGTTTCAACAGTGAGCAGTTCTTTGGTGCAATGAGTACTGGTCATCATTCATGCAACTTACCTGGAAAAGGTGTCACTTCATTTCAGCTGTTTGGAAAGATCATTCATATAGAACAGCCTCCAGCAAATACAGATGACATAAGCTGTACTCATGTTGTATCTCAGAGCTCCCCTGTGATGAAATCATCTGCTTTGTGAATGGTGATTTGCAATGTGTTGGTGGTTGGGAAGGCTGTTCAGGTATATGTCTTTATAATTTATGATTACAAGTTTTTACATATGCTAATGCCTTCTGAAAAGCACGTAAGTTGCTTGAATATATGCCTTTTGTAATATCTTCTGTTGATGAGGGGACCTTTTACTTTTCATGCTATTAACCCTGGGAGATAATCTTGTAGGGAAAGGAGAAATTAAACCATGCAGTTTGCTTTTAGATTCTTCTGTAATTTTGTGTAGTGCATCCTCAAACACATACATACAACTCCTCTCATCTTCTTTCTCCACACATGTCCATGTTTCACGAGCTTATAATATCACGTATGAGTAATACTTGGAGGCTGATTCTTTTTTGGTTTGACAAATTCACAAGTTTATTACTGGTATATTATATCATAAAGAGAGAGATTTATGAGCTGGGGTAGCATAGACTGTCCCTATCACACATGCACAAAGACTCAGATACAGGATTATACATGTATGATGTGTGTGGGTATTTGCTTGTAGTTAAATGTTTCTCATGTAGCAAAGCAAAGTGGAATCCTCAATTATTATCTTTATATGGAGAAATTAAAGCATTAGTCTTACATCATAGACCATTGCAAAATCTCCAGGAAGTGACAGTGTCTTTTTTTCCCCCCCTCAGTTTCAGGTATGTGGTTCGTTGACCAGAGGCACGCACCATGCAACTTCTAATATAGTATTGGACATAAGTAGCTTGCTGATCGTAGTTTTTTTTTCCTTTTGTCTGGTTTATTTTGGAAATGGAAAGTTTAACTTCGAGATCTTATAGACTACGTTTGAATAATTTGCTTTGCAATGGTGTGCTTTTAGATTTGGACATGAATGTAAATTTTTTCCACAATTAGAATGGAGAAAAACCATCAGTGCTTTTTTCATAATAGGGTGTTTTTGTGGATTTTCTTGATTAACCATGCTTCCCAAGTTGGCATACTTTTTTTGTGTGGATTTTCTTTCCTTTGCATGTCGCAACAGTTGGTAGCTGCTGCGTTTGCTTCCCTATTTATTTAGTGATTGTTGACGTAGGCTTCCAATTGATGCTTTTCATGGTTTCAGTATCAGCATGATCTTTTACTTGCATATGTGCTATAGTATGCAATTCAAAACAATCTTCTTGTCGTGATTGTTAAGAATGGTAACGATTAGAGCTTTTATCTACGTAAATCTCAGGTTATAAACGGAAAGTAGTTACCAGAGGGGAAGGTGGTAAATAAATCAGGTGGTTCAATTATGTCAAATCAATATGTTTATAAATATAAATAATGACTCTTTTCTAGAGTTATTAATATTCAGGTCAGGGTTTTAGCGTCAAGTCTGCTTACTGGCTTGGTAAAATGGGTGTGGATTATGTGAGTAATCCGAATCAAAATTGAAAGGATCACAATGGTAATGGAATGAACACAATAATATTCTAGAAGGAGGGGGTTGAATAGAGTGTGGGCAATTTTCGCAAAACAAATATGTCAAGGTCTTAAGATTAGTTTCAAGGCGGAATAAACGAATCTCAGTTTTAAATTCAAAGCTTTGAAAACAGTTTATAAAATAAAAATGATTTACTTATCAGAGTCAAGGCTTTGAAACTTAGACTGAATGTAATTTACGAATTAAGCAAAAATAAATACGAGTAAAGTAAAGAAAATAAAGAAAAAACATGAGACAAGAGACAGATATATTTTTACAAAGTTCAGCAAATATGCCTATGTCTCCGCCTAGGGTTGTCCAACCCGTAGGATTTTAAACTTCCTTTATTTCTTCCCTTATAGTCCTAAAGCACTTAGAAGATGACCTCTCTTCTCTCCGTAACCGCCCGGCTACACTTTAACAACTCAATTCCCAGAAATAAAAGATTACCTAAAATACTTTGAGTATTATAGAATTACTCTAAGTATATCTATCTTTTGATAAATTCTTTTTCCACTCTTAGATACACTTTTATTTTCTCTCAATCTAATCACACAATAAGGTGTTAAAGAACTTAGAGAGAGAATATTTAACACTCTTGCTATAGTGTATGAAGCTTGATAATTCTTGAGTGTTCTTGTTCTACGTTGTTATTTCTTCAGCACACTTGAACATTATTTATAGAGTTGGAGGACTTGGATTTCTGATTTTTGAATTTGAAACAGCCGTTGAAACTCCAACGTTATTTGAATAAGTCTTGCGCTATTATTTGGCTTCAATTTCAACGTTCATCTTCACAAAAAAAATCCAGCCTATCTTCAAGGGATACTGTAAAACAGATATTTAAACTTCAAGGAAATCGGTTAACACTAAGATAGCTACACAATTTCGAATTTAAATAAAATGCTTATCACTTGAAACAAATATTCTGATGAAACAAAATTTCGTTAAGATAATTTATCATTATCTCTATCTCTGCAAAACAGAATTTGTTAGAGATATTTATCTTGTCAATATCAGATTATTATCATAAGATAAATATTCAAAATAAAAAATAATTTAAATACCAACAATTTAAATACCAAGATAAACAAGTCATCAAAGTAGGCGTAAATAATCCTGGCAAAATAATAAATAAAATATACCAATCGTACAGTCCAATGCAACATAATATTGTATTACACATGTTTTGACTTCCATCATAAACTTAAATAAAAATATCATCAAGGTGGAGCCTTCAATCTCCCCCTTGATGGAAGTCAAAACCACCATTAAAAATAACCAATATAATTAAACCTGCACACAAAGATTAATATCCAAACATTCATCATATAATATACAGCATTAAACTACTCCCCCTTTTTGACATCCAACAAGGGAGGAAAAATGGTTGGAACAAACAGTAAAACAAAATTAAAGTTATTTAATATACGACAGTTTTATTTCAAGGCTTTGACATGCAGTTAAAGGTCTTGAAATAAGTTGCAGCTTTACAATCAACACAAATTAAAGCGTTAAAGCACGTACCTTAGCTCCCCCTACGAAGATGCATCCTTAATTAGTATTCTTAATTCATGCCGAATAAGAATGAATATATCTTCGCTTAAAGACTTAGTAAAAATCAGCAAGTTGATAATAAAAACATCAAACCTTTACTTTTGAATTTATCTTTACTCTTGAAGAATTCCTACAAAACAAAAGAACATTAAACCTTTCTAGACCAACCTGCAAATTTGGAGTCATAGTCAGGATGGACCATGTTTGGCGGTCTAGTTCCTTTAACAACCCATATTTGCTTGATTTGGTCTCGAAAATAAAAGGAAAAGAATTCTTAACAATATAATATGGTCATTTCTTCTAAAAGGACATGTTAACTTAGTATGACCCTTCTTGCAACAGTAGACACATGTGGGAGTTCGCCAATTATCCTTAGCTTTTACAAAAGTGGTCGGGTTTTTCTTAGGAAAATTTTTGTTGTATCCAAGACCACTCTTATTTAAGGATGATTGGTGTACACCCAACATCTTATCAAGTGTTGCTTCTGACTGAGTAAATCTAACCAAGGAATTATGTTGCTTTATGCATTTCCCAATAAGAGTTTTCTTTTCTTTCTCCAGTTTATTATTATAATAACTCAGAGAAGTAAGCTTACGCTTTAAAGTAGTGTTTTCAGTTTTCAAGGCCTTGACCTTTGTGTCAAAAGCTGACTCTGAGGTCTTGACCTTGTTTTCAAAAGTGGACTGGGCTGCTTTGAGATCAGCTAATTCCTTAGCCAAATTGTCAGATATGCTCACTTGTTTGCTCATCTTTTCTTTAAGAATCTTCGATTCTTGAATTAAGCTTTCTTCATTAATAAGCATATTACGTAAACAATCAGAAAGAACATTAGTAGGACTGGCAATTAAATTGTTTACGATTACCTGGAGGTGCTCATCTTTTGCATCATTGTGATCCGCCATAAGACATAGATTAGCTTGTTCATCATCGAAATCACTTGAATCCGAGTCACTCGATGAGGCAACCATAGATTTATTCTTATAATCACTTTTGCCTAACTGCCTTTTTCTTCTGTTAGGGAAATCCTTCACAAGGTGATCATCATCTCCACATTCGTAGCACTTCAAGGTATTGACTTTGTTGAATGATTTGCTCTTGTATTTCTCTGCCCGATTGTTGTTCTTTCTTCTAGGAAACTTTTTCTTCATTTTGAGAATCTTTGCAAGACTTCTAGCAATAAGATCAAAAGGATCCTCATCATCTTCATCTTCGTCCGAATCTTCTTCTATTAATTCTTCTTCTTTCTTAGCTATGAGAGCTAGCCCCTTTGTGGATGAGGCAGGCTCTCCGTCTTCTTCTTCGAGGGAAATCTCATGGGTGATAAGTTTCCCAAGTAGATCATCAAGAGAAAGGGTTCTCAGATTTCGGGCTTCTTCTTATGCAGTGACTTTGGGACCCCATTTTGCTTTTGGAAGGCACCGGAGAATTTTTCTGACTTTTTCTTCGTTTGAGAATGACTTCCCAAGAGAATCAAGGTTATTTATAATCTGAGTAAACCTTGTGAACATCTCTTTGATAGACTTATTTGGCAACATTTTGAAGAGTTCATATTGTCGAAGGAAAATATTGATTTTGGTCTCCTTCACTTGACTTGTTCCTTCATATGTGACCACTAGCTTATCCCATATCTCCTTGGCGCTTTTGCATGTAGACACACGGTTGAATTTATTAGCATCTAGTCCACAATACAGCAAGTTCATAGCACAGTAATTTTTTGCCACATTTTCGAGATCCGTCTGATTAAACTCATCATCATCTTTTGGAACGGTTGCTCCACTTTCCATCTTCTTCATAGGTACTTTAGGACCTTTCTTTATAATCTCCCAGAGCTCAAGATCTTGATGAATTACGAACATTTGCATTAGAGATCTCCAATGAGCAAATTTATTGCCGCAAAAGAGAGGAGGACGATTTGCAGATCGACCTTGAACAAAGCCACCATCACCGATTGAATTCATATTTCACGGATGGTTAAATCTGAATGTGAAAACCTGTAAAGCTCTAATACCAAATGAAAGGATCACAATGGTAATGGAATGAACACAATAATACTCTAGAAGGAGGGGGTTGAATAGAGTATGGGCAATTTTCGCAAAACAAATATATCAAGGTCTTAAGATTAGTTTCAAGGCGGAATAAACGAATCTCAGTTTTAAATTCAAAGCTTTGAAAACAGTTTATAAAATAAAAATGATTTACTTATCAAAGTCAAGGCTTTGAAACTTAGACAGAATGTAATTTACGAATTAAGCAAAAATAAATACGAGTAAAGTAAAGCAAATAAAGAAAAAACATGAGACAAGAGACAGAGATATTTTTACAAAGTTCGGCAAATATGCCTACGTCTCCGCCTAGGGTTGTCCAACCCGTAGGATTTTAAACTTCCTTTATTTCTTCCCTTAGAGTCCTAAAGCACTTAGAAGATGACCTCTCTTCTCTCTGTAACCGCCCGGCTACACTTTAGCAACTCAATTCCCAGAAATAAAAGATTACCTAAAATACTTTGAGTATTATAGAATTACTCTAAGTATATCTATCTTTTGATAAATTCTTTTTCCACTCTTAGATACACTTTTCTTTTCTCTCAATCTAATCACACAATAAGGTATTAAAGAACTTAGAGATAAAATATTTAACACTCTTGCTATAGTGTATGAAGCTTGATAATTCTTGAGTGTTCTTGTTCTACGTTGTTATTTCTTCAGCACACTTGAACATTATTTATAGAGTTGGAGAACTTGGATTTCTGATTTTTGAATTTGAAACAGCCGTTGAAACTCCAACGTTATTTGAATAAGTCTTGCGCTATTATTTGGCTTCAATTTCAACGTTCATCTTCACAGAAAAATCCAGCCTATCTTCAAGGGATTCTGTAAAATAGATATTTAAACTTCAAGGAAATAGGTTAGCATTAAGATAGCTACACAATTTCGAATTTAAATAAAACGCTTATCCCTTGAAACAAATATTCTGATAAAACAAAATTTCGTTAAGATAATTTATCATTATCTCTATCTCTGCAAAACAAAATTTGTTAGAGATATTTATCTTATCACTATCAGATTATTATCATAAGATAAATATTCAAAATAAAAAATAATTTAAATACCAACAATTTAAATACCAAGATAAACAAGTCATCAAAGTAGGCGGAAATAATCCTGGCAAAATAATAAATAAAATATACCAATCGCACAGTCCAATGCAACATAATATCGTATTACATGTGTTTTGACTTCCACCATAAACTTAAATAAAAATATCATCAAGGTGGAGCCTTCAAAAATGCTATTGAGCGAAAGCTGTGGAAGCTGGTGTGGGGTTTGGGTGGCCCTCCGAAGTTGAGCCACTTTGTGTGAAGGGCTTGCAAGGGGAGTCTCGGTGTGAAACAGGAACTGCATAGACGCCATATTGCTGCCTGTAACTTGTGCACAGCATGTGGGATTGAGGTGGAGTCAATAACATAGGTTCTGTTTGACTGTGTCGCAATCAGGCAGGTCTGGGATTCATATGAGCATGCTACACTTATTTTTGACCCTCCAATTCATGCTTGTTTGCTGAAAGATCGTTGTGGATGGCGGACAAGATCAACAAAGAAGAGCTCTGTATGCTGCTGGCATAGCGTGGTCAATATGGTTCTGCAGGAATAAGAGCATTTTTGAAGGAATTACACTGAACTTGAATGTTATGGCTGCAAGCTTCGCAAAGCTAATACACGACTATAAGCTATACGCAGCTAAGGTTTTCCCTTCCAAGTGCTCTATGTTGTCTCCTACTGCTGCTGCGTGGTCTGCCCCCCTGCTAGTATTGTAAAAATTAATTTTGATGCCCATGTCAATTCCGCTTCTGCTGGTGGTACTGGTGCAGTGGCTAGGGACAGCGAGGATCATGTGCTATGGCTGCAGTCCAAAGAATTCCTATGTGGTGGGATGTTGAAACAGCAGAGGTAGCTGCTGCTCGGTTTAGCTGCCAGATTGCGATTAGGCTGGGTTATTCGCAGGTGTGGCTTGAAGGAGATGTTTTGACAGTGATCAACACCATCAATGATTCCTCTCATGGATGGTCCCTTATTTGGCTTATTTATGATGATGTGCGCTTGTTAGCTAAGTCTTTTAATGGTTGTAGTTTTTCTCATGTATAAAGAGCAGGGAATCTAGTAGCTCACAACGTAGCAAGGTGTGATACTAATGATTGTAACGAATGAGTTTGTATGGGTTCGTTTCCTCAAGGTCTTTTAACCTTGGCTGAACTTGATATTACTTGATCAATAAATTGCTCTTTTTCCCTCAAAAATATTGTGATCTACTTGTATATGATCTTAGTAGAGTATAATAGTTTTGAATGCATGCTTAGTTTATAATAATGTCTGACAATTGGTTTAGGCCTTTTGGGTACAGTTTCAAATTAGGCAAATAAATTGTTATACTCTCTCCGTTTTTTTTATAAGGTAGAGTTACTATTTTCATCCGTTTTTTTTTTTTTTTTTTTTTTTTTTTGTATAAGCTAGAGTTCCATTTTTGGAAATCTCTTACAATTTAATAATATATCTTTACCTATTAATGTCCCCAGTCTTTCTTACTTAATCATTTATCACTCCTCCAATGGTCTCCGTCCCTCTTACACCACTTTACTTTATCTACCCCACTAACATCTTATTTTATTAAAGCTTCTAAAACTCCGTTCAATCTCATCTCTAGCTTATAAAAAAAACGAAAGAGATATTTAGGTAAACTAGTAGTGGGAGCCCCCCTCCCAATTTGGCCTAACCAATCTCGAAAAGGTCTAATCGCGGTTATCTTTGTTGAGCATGATATGTAATAATGGTTGAATAACGATTGTAAGCACTTGTACAGTTGTATTGGTGTGCAAGTCTAAATGATACCTAGTGTTGTTTTAGTTTGATGTTTAGGATTTGTATAGCTGCACATATTTGATTATTGTGAACAATATATGGTCAAAGTGGCTAATAACCCCTTCTCCACTCTATCTCCCTCCCTTTCGACACTAAGAGTGCATCCAGTAGATCTTAGCGTATAATCTTAAAACCACTTGACAAGAACCATACTACTCTTAGGAGTTATATTAGTAGGTTGTTTATAAGAATTATAGAAACACCAAATATAGCATTAGCTTGTTTTTTATGAACCTAGGAACAGAGTTACGGAAAGATAAATGCCAAGTGTTGAGTAATTAGGTTTTGATGATTGTCTAACGTGTTTGTTAAGTTGTACATGGACAGAACAAGTTATGCTTGGAATAGGATACAAGGAACCTAAGCAATGACAAGTATATATATAACAAACCTGAGTAATATATGATAAACAATAGAAGGAACAAGAGCAATGATGAGTGATGGTTGATAAGCATGATGATGGCAAAGGAACCATGAAGGTAACTATGTTAATAGGTGTTTGCATATGTTAGTTTCATGAGGTAAGTATCCTATACATACGTGAGTCATGTATTTGTAGGAGTCGTTCAATTAGTTTAGTTTTTCTAGTTTGCTTTTAGGTTAGCTCTAGTTTAGTTTGGTCTTGTTTTAGTTTTCTTTATTGTTTCTATAAATATAGAAATACAAAAATATGCGGCTTTATAAGTTTAATTAGTTCTCTCATTTTTCAATCTAATGTTCTCTTAAGTGTTTGTGTGAAGACATGAACTGACTTAAGTGAAGTCAATGGGTTGGAACATAGAAGACTTCAAGAGGAACAAGAGAGAATGAACGAACCTAAAGCAGGTTCCCCCACGAGAACCAAACCATGAAGGAACTTGAAGGTATTCTCCAATGAGATGAAAAAGGAACTTTCAACAGGCTTTCCCACGAGAGTCGTAGCATGTTCCCTAACAGGAACTGGAACTTGGTCTGTGGTTCCAGAAGTGGAACGTTGCCCCGAGATCCAGAATACAACAAGACTACAGGATTCCAGAACAAGAGTTTTAGAGAAACAACATGAAGACGGAGAAATAGAAGTATATAGCTCTAGGATTCATGTAAGTATGTTGGACATAAAAGTCAGGAACAAGTTTATATAGAACCAAGGTGAACTCCAGGCAGTCAATGCAAATAAAGTTACTGACGTCAGGAACTTAGAGACTGTCAGAGTTCCGAACCTAATAGGAACTTAAGTATGCACGTCTATAAAAGTCAATTCTAATGATATATATTTATCTAATACGTGCATATCTTTTAAGGATTTGGTTTTACGGAATAAAGATAATTATTTTCTAATAAATCCCTTTTGGAGAAAGATAAGTTTGTTTAGAAAGTATTTTTAAACAAAAAGATAAGTTTTGAATAAAATCTAATTTTATGATTATATCTTATTATTATTGACAGATTTTATTCTTAACAAAAAGATATATTTTCGGAAAACTTATTTTTAGAAAATATTTTTTAAACTTATCTTTTGATAAAACCTATCATTTTCAAGATGAAATGAATAATTCGAGTGTACTATAAATATGCTCATATGTATTCATTCAAAGTTGAGGCTAACGAAGTGTACTGGTCGTACTTAATGGTTTCATCCTTCACCACGAAGCTAAGTTAGTCCTCCTGGTCAAAGTTCCTATCAGAATTTGGTTTCATTACGTCCACTGAGTTCCAGACAGATCTCGAGTGGTCCAACATATTAGTTTTATCTCTTTATTTATAGATATGTATTTAGAGATATTCAATGAGATCTTGTAATGGGAAAAAGGGTTTGAGTCTTTTGGGTATTGGGGTGTGAGTTTGAATACACTAAAATTCTATTGTAGCTATGCATTTGAATTCTCCAAAATTCGTATGGTAGCTGTGAGTGCACAGTGAATGAGCTTCTACTGTGAAGCCGAGTGTAGGCACTTTGGGAGTGCTGAGTGAACCTAAGTGTGGGACTTAGGCTGGGTAGGATAGGGTCCTATCAGGTAGCAAGTTGCCGTGGAGGAACTTGTGAGAAAGGTCTGTGTGTAATAGGATGTAACTAGGAGTTTTGCCCTATTATAGTGAAGTGTTTGTGTTGAAATTCCCTTAGAGGATCGATTTTACTTCCAATTGGGCCCTGAAAGGTTTCCTCGTAAAATCCGCTTTGCATTGTTTAAGTTCCTAACTTTAACTGTTTTATATCCCGCGAAAACTAGGCACTAGTAACATACTACAATTCACCCCCCCCCCCCCTCTTGTCGTATACCATCCAAATAACACCAAGAAGCAAGTTATAAGATGTTTCCGAAAAAGATGTTTCCTATTGTTACGATAGATTTATAGAGCATGGACTCTAATCCTATAAATCACATGGGTATCCTCAATTAAATATATTTTTAAAAAGTACAAACATAATCGAACTCTAAATCGAATAAAACCAAAAATAAACAACAAATTCAGCAAAATAAAAAAAAAAAAAAAAAAAAAAAAAAAAAAAAAAGACTGATTTCCTTTAGGTCTAATTTCTGTGATACCGACTGATACCAAGATATGATTTATTGGAAAAACAATCAGGCAGTGCACAATTCAACAACAAAATATATTCAGCAGCAAAAGGTGTTGCATATTTATATGGTTCAAGGTGATAGGATTTATGGTTCATCAGAGAAGCTGGTGGATTAATTTGTCTTCTCAGAATCTTTCTCAACATCAGTGTCTTGGAATAGGGATGTTCGAAACTTTTTTCCAGCAGCATGTTGATCAGGTGCTGGTGCTGGTGCTGGTTCTGGCTCTGGCTATGAAACTGTAGTTGCTTGTTCTTTGTTGTTAGCATTGGTTTGTTGTGCGAGAGTGTCAAAGTCCACTGAGGAAGTGCTTGCTTTGAACAGCTTGTTCAAGATCTTTGATGGTTTCAATCTCTGACTGACTTAGATTGTACTATTTATCTATTTCTTCATAAGCTAGCCTGTTCAGAAATCATCGCATCATCTATTGTTTTAGGATCTTGGCTGAAACCTGCACTTGGATCAGACATTATGAGCATAAGGCTGTCTATCCTGGGATTATGTCTGAACAGATTCTTATTGCTGAGTTCCCTTCATCTTATCAGATGAACTGCATATCTCTTGCTGAGTAGAACTTCCAGATGATGAGCCTGTCAGATTAATCTGTGTTGATTCATCTTTCACTTCAACACCTATCAAGGTCCATATCAACACATTGTTCCTTAAAAGTTCTCCTGTAGGTCCAACCTTGACTAAGAATTCTTTGCGTGAAGCATATCCGGTATTGGCTGTAAAGCTTCCAGATTTTCCTGGAATACATGTATATTATCAAAGTATAGTTAAGTGGTTTATAATAATGTACCTGATTAGTTAATATACCAAGTAGAAGTTAAAAATAGTATATCATGAAAATCTTAACGCAGACTTATTGCATGTATTATCATGCTAAAGCAATAAGTAGCTTTCACTGTAACAATAAAGATATCTATAAAAATAACATGTGTGTAACATCTTTCACAATCTGTGAGGAAACAAGATTGTATTTTCTAGGACACTAAATGCAAATGCGAGGCACTGTCACCAAATTACATGTCTTGTTCAAGCAAAAGACTGTTTTTATTAGGTAAAGTGAAGGACTGTATACATGTTAGGTAATTATAGAAGCTTTCAAGCTGGGGCAAGGGGCAGATGCAAAGGGCAGGGAAAATTTATTCAAGGATTGTGTACATGTATCTTCCAGGAGAAGATATTTCAACATGGCTTACTATTCTAAATTCTAACATACTGCTAAGTGATATATGTAACAGAAAGAGCTGATCATAGGGTAAAGCTTGCGTCATGTTCAAGTACACTGAAATAGTAAAATGCTTACAGTATCCATACTACAGATTTCAGTAGCTGATTTTCGAAAGAGTCTTTCTGTATCGTCATTAAAGGTGGTGAATGGCATTGTACCAATTCCATCTCTAGCCATCAAACTTATATGTAGCTCTGGTAATTAAAATAATAACAAGCCATAAGCACAAGGATGTAAAGGCCTTGGTTTCACAAGAGCACTTTATAGCCATGTTTTGCTATTGGATATTGAATGCAAATAAGAGTTGTTGGCTAACAATATGTTTTTACTCAAAACAATAGAGAAAATTTATAATGTCCAATTTGACTCCAGATATTAAAACAAAATCATTAATCTCATGATTTCTGCTAAACAGGGTTAGCTTGGAAAATCCACCATTTGTTTCAAGTCATCCCTAATTTCTCATGATTCAACATTTAAAAATCAACATCTAAAAATCCTTTGTTATTGCTGATTTGATTTTGAATTCTCCTCTTTGTCAAACAAATTCACAAAAGACCTAGCGTTTCTAGATTTATTGAAGCGAAAAAGATTAAAGACTGTAGAAAAAAAAAAAAAATATATATCTAAAGAGTGTTTACCAAACATCAATAAACTCAATGATGTGGGTTGGAAGGGTTCTTTCATTCAAGTCACAAAGAGAGGTTAGTCTATCGAAATTCAGCAGTGTATTCGTTTATACTCGTATTATCTTGAGTCAAAGTAGTCAATTTCAGGATTGTATTTGCTCAAAATCATGAAGTAGAGGTATTAAGAGTGCAACTTTCGTTTCAAATCAGTCCAAATTGAGATCTTTTTTTTACCTGCCCTAGCATGCCTGGCTTTGAGAGATTCAAACCATGCACCTGCATTTTTTGTGAGGCAGATGTAGGCTATGTTGAACCTATTAGCATCATTGAACCCTTTATAGTCAGACATCTTCTTTCCCACTCAAGGAAGTCTTCTGATATTCCAAGGCCAGTAAAATCATCGAGCTTGATATTCCTATCAATCGATTTTAGAGTGCTTTGATTGAAACTCGGCATCACTGGAAGACTCATCGTCACTATCCTTTTCCTTTTTCTTCTTTGTCCTGTCAATTATTAGTTTAGAGAATGCCTCAATTCTAGCCTCGATCTAATCAGCTAGTTGTTCTGTTCTCTGATAAAGTATCTCAAATTTCTGATGAAAATCATTCATATTTATTACCAATTCCTCTGCATAGTGATCACATACAAGTGTCAGAATAAATGCACAAGAAAACGGTAGCAGCAAGAAACATGGGAGAAATAACTCCAAACCTGGAAAGCTCTCCAGATCTTCTGGTGGCTGATCTTCTGGATAGTACTCATCACTGTTGGGATAATGATAAATTGCAGCAGCACCTTACTGACAGTGACATCATCCTTGTGCACAGCATTCCTTTTAGTTTGAGGGATACAGAGGATGTGAGATATTGGTGGCCTTCGTCTGATGGTGTATACACAACAAAATCGGGTTATTGGCTTGGACGTTTGGGTCAACGCAAATGGCTGGGCGAATCTGTATGGTGGGGATAGGGGTCTTCCGAATTTAAGCCATTTTCTGTGGAGAGCCTGTACCGGCTCTCTTGCTACCCTTGGAAGATTATGTGACCGTCACAGTAGAAGCGATGGGTTGTGTGGGTTATGTCAGGAAGAGAATGAAACAATCATCCATGCTATTTTTGAGTGTGAGAAGGTTCGCCACATTTGGGATCATTCTCCGTATGCAGGTACTCTGATTGATGCTCCCTCTATCTCTTTCTTTGATAGATTTCTATGGATTCAGAGGATTAAAAAGGAAGAGCTACTTGTGTTTTTGCTATTTCTTGGGCTGCTTGGTCTTTTCGTAACTCATGTGTGTTTGATGAGCCTTGGAGTAATTGTGAAGTGGGAGTTCTGGGTTTTGTTCGGTCGGTTGAAGACTATAAGAAATATGCTGGGGCTGTTTTGTGGGGCATAAGGAGAACAGAGGTGGCTTCTTTAGGAGCGTGGAGTCCTCCGGCAGCTGGCTGCTACAGAGTAAATACTGATGTAGCTATGTTGAGTGACGATGTGGCTGGTTTAGGGGCGGTGCTGCGTGATAGCAGGGGGGTGATTGTTGCTGCTATGGTGTGTCGTTGTCCAGGTATCAGTTCAGTGGTGTTGGCTGAAGCTTTAACTACACGTTTGGGGGTGCTGCTGGCTCGAATATGGGCTGCGAGAGAGTGGAGTTACAATGTGATGCTGTAATATTGAAAAACCCATTTGCTTGCAGAAGTTGGGTAGGAAGCCTGCTGACTTGGTCATTGAAGATGTCTGCTGGTTGGGTAGGGAGTTTGATCTGTTTTCTTGTAGTCACATTAAAAGGGCAGGGTAATTGTGTAGCGCATTTAATGGCTAGCATGTTCCGGCTAATGGGGTAGAGCAAGTGTTTGTTAGTGACTTTTCGCAAGGTATTACTACCTTGGCGGAGCTTGATATGTATGATTTCCCGTTTAATTATAATATTGCTCCTTGAGTGCCCTTTCAAAAAAAAAAAAACATGGGAGAAATAAATAGTTCAATAATATTTTTATAACATCCTCAATACTCCCTAAATCACACAGGAAATAGACCAGTCCGAACTAAACAGACCAGTTTAATAGCTGATGAAGTCCACAAACTCTGAAATTTTACAGGCAGAAGAAATATACGCAAATTCAAAAAAAAGAATCGCCTAAAAACCTGTTTATGATTTGTGCCATAATGCAGAATATAGGAGAAGTAAATTGCGATACTCACCTGCATTTCAACTGCTTACACGATGATGGTTTTTCAGGATATACTTTTCAATTAAGGGAGAGAATACAACTTTAGAGCCACCTGCCGCTATTCTTTCCTTCAGTTTCATTAGTGGTTTCTCCCACCTCAATATCTCAAAGGGAACCATCTCATAAATCCATCTTCCCTACACGAACAAAATAAAAATGAAAGCTACTGTAGTGTGTGATAAGTTTGGTTAGGGGTGGTCATAGTTTTAAAGCTCTCATAATAGAGCCAAATAACTTACAATAGACCAAAGCATTAAGGATAGTCCATGTAGGAAGGAACCAGAGAGCACTCAATAGTATTCATGGATGCCTCTATAGCATCTGAATTGAAACCTTCTTCCATCTTTGCTAGCTCAAATTCAGATAAACAGTTAGAGCATCTCAAAACACATAGTAATTCACAGTAAATCATGAGACTCAATCCGACTGGTTTTAATTCGAGTTATTAATTACTAATATATTGAAATCAGACTTTGGGGCAGCATTTGTAATGCATAATTTAATAATTAGAGACAATTCTAGACTTCAATAAACGCATTTGTGAGCTACCATGATTAATCTTAGCATTATATAAGTAAACATCTTTAAATTAACCTCGCAACTAATTACACAATGCTGAAAACAGAGGAACTAGTTGTTTAAAGCTCCAAATTTGTGAAATTAAGATCATACCTTTAAAGAGACAACCTTCTTCTCAAATCTGCTAATGACCTCCCCAACCTACGTATTATAAAAAGTAATTTCAGAATCGTAACACACAATCTGACACTAAATTCTTCCTCATAAAAAGTGATTTCAGAATCGCAACACAATCTGACACTAAAATCTTCCTCATACATGGTTATCAGTGCTCAATTAGATCTTCCTCATACTTGATAATGTCAAACCAAAAATCAAGCTCATACATGGTCTTCATTACTCAATTAGATCCTCAAAAAATTTAGTTCATCCCGACTTAGTCAACCCCAATCAAGTGCTTAAAAAGAGAATCAGGCAAAATTCAAATCAAATTTCCATCTATGATAACATTTTACATACCATTAACAAGTTTTTTTTGTTCACAAAAAATCAGCAACTTATTAGGAAGAGTACAATTAATTAATTACAAACATCAAGGTCATGACTTAGCATGCAACAGAAAATCCACATACGAATTTTCAAGCAGAAATAGACGATTCCCAAAGTTATATTAACAAGACTAAAAATCTTATCTGAAACTGAATACTCAATTTGCTATTTTGAATAGATCACCATACTTTATACTACAATAAATATAAACCTTAAAAAATAGAGAGAATAAGATAGACAAGAGAAACCTAGAACTTTTGGAATAAAAAAAAAAAAAAAAAAAAAAAGCTTGAACATCAGATGGAATTAACACACCCGGTAATTGCTCAACAACAATATTGAGTACAGTCATTAAGCACATGATCCACAACTACCAACTTTCTCCCGTTTCGTTCAGATCTTTCCTTCCATCCCTCTGATCTTCTCTACCTTCCTATCTCACTAATTTCAGTCTAAATTTCATACATTTTCTACTGACAACTCCAAAATCAAATATTTATGATTTAACATATAAATCATTTTCTTCTTCCTCCTTCATTAGATTATCTTTTAATTCTTCATCCTTAATTAATACAAATAGGTTATCTTGATTAATATTACGTAGATTTAGTCTTGAATAAGAGTAATATGTTTGTTGAAATAAACCTTAGAAAACTAATATGTTTGTTCTGAAATAATAAATTAAACGCGTTTAATCATCAAAAAGATTCCCAATTAGCAAAAATTACAACTTTCCTCAAATAAACCTTAAGAAAGAGCAAAACAAATAAAAATTAAATTTATTAACATAAAACCAACAGCAAAACATTCTAATTCATACCGCTATCTTTGCTTTTTTGCCTATTCTCAGAATTCACTGCCTCTGTTGCAACAAAGAGTACATACAATTACAAGTACGAGCCACCAAAACCTGCAAACAACACACCACCAATTCAATCCTTAAAATTCAACTCACATTACACTAATTGAACATAAAAACACAACACAAGCACAAAAGAAGAAATCTACTGTACTGGATCATTAGCAAACAGATTAAGCAAAGCCAAAAATCCGAATGTAACAAGCGTCTGCTTTAAATACTTCATACAGTGCCTTAAATTGTTCACATCTGTAAAATCTAAAAAAAATCAAAAAAAAAATTTCAGAAAATTCAAAACCAAAATTGATAAAACTGACCTCGTTGCAAATAGAGTTTATAAAATCAGAATTTTGATGATTATAAAAATCCACACTTAAACAACATTACCTCAGCTTCAATGGACGAGAGAGAAAGGTCGGAGCATGCTTCAATGGAAAACTCGAAGTACGCTTCAATGGAGGGGAGAGAAAGTGAAAGAATAGGAAATGAACAAATGAAGAAGAAGACAGCTGAGGAGGACGGAGTTCAGAATAGCAAAAGGTAAGGAAGGGAGGAAAAGCAGGGAAAGGAGAAGAAAATGAGGAAGGAAAAAAGGCAGGCAACAACCTAAAACAAGGGCAGTAATGTCTTTTCAAGAAGTAAATTGGGGGTATAATGGTCGTTCACTGTTCATAAGGAACATTAGACGATCGCTTTACTTTTAAAAGGTTTATTTATAGATAAAATGAAGATATTAATTAAACATCTCATAGTCAAATTATATAATACCCATAAGCAATTACCAAAACAAATCAATTAAAAACTTTATCTAGGCTATGTAGGATTCGAACCCACATCTTGTGCATGATAGCACAATTCTCTACCAATTAAGCTAATAGCTTTCATATACATCACTTAAAACATATGATGCAATTCTAAATACCCAGGCCACATGCCTCAAATTACACATATCTCAAAGGATGCTTAAGTAAAGTTTAAGTAATAAAGCAAAATATGCTTTCACCAACAAAAAAAATCATCAAAATAATGCATTATCACTTTTAAAGGGAAAAAAATAAAATGTTGCCATAAAATAACTATAGATAGAATGTAAGTTAATGAAATCATATACATGCCCTTAACTGATGAAAAGACCTGCCAGCTTCTCTTCTAGAAAATCAGATACGGAGTAAATACTTTAGAACAATATTATATATGTTAAAAGATGACTTTCTGATTATAGGTTGGTATTGTATGTTTGTGGAAATAGAAGAGAGCAAAAGAACAAATAAAAGAGTCAGTTGTTATTTTTTACTTCTTCTTCTTCCATAGTTCACAAGATAGTGAACTTATTTATAGGCAAATATTGTCATTAAAATATTATACATGATTGTACTTTTAGACAAATTATTGTCCATAATAAATTCATGTGATGAGCTACAAGTTACCATGCTACAAGTTATGTGAACTTCATTTTGGCATTTTCTCAACACTCCCCCTTAAGTTCGCATGAAATGGGGTATGAGTTGCCTTAAAGAAAAATATTATATGCTTTGATATATTGCCTCGTTAAAAACCTTGTCAGGAAAAACCTTGTGGGGTAAAAACCTGATCGAAGGGAAAAAGAGTGCATTGTATATAATACTCCCCCTGATTTCAACATAGTTCACAAAGATGACGCATTCCAATTTTGTTAACTAATTGCTCAAATTTCTTAGAAGGAAGTGATTTGGTGAATAGGTCGACAAGGTTGTCACAAGACTGAATTTGCTGGATATCTATTTCCTCATCCTTTTGCAGATCATGTGTGAAGAATAGTTTTGGGGATATATGTTTTGTTCTATCTCCCTTAATATATCCTTCAGTTACTTAGTGATGCATGCTGTATTGTCTTCAAAGATGGTGGTTGGATTTTCTGTTATTGCTTTCATTCCACACTCCTTTTGGATATTACTAATCATCGACCTCAGCCATACACATTCTCGTCCTGCTTCATAAAGGACTATCAACTCTACATGATTTGAGGATGTCGCTGTCAATGTCTGTTTTGTTGATTTCCATGATATTGTTGTGCCGCCATAAGTGAACAAATATCCATTTTGTGACTTGGCATTTTGAGGATCCGATAAGTATCCAGCGTTTGCATATCCAATGAGAGCAGCATCTTGTTTCGGTTCATAATATAAATCAAGGTCTTGTGTCCCTCGTAGGTACCGGAGTAAGTGTCGAACTCCTTTCCAATGTCTGTATGTCGGTGCATTGTTGTACCTGGCTAACAAGTTCACAAAGAAAGCTATGTCGGGTCTAGTGTTGTTAAATAAGTACATTAAGGCTCCAATTGCACTTAAGTATGGTACTTCTGGACCCAGAATTTCTTCATTTTCTTCTCGGGACCTAAATGGATCGTTTTTCATATTCAAAGAACGAACAACCATTGGGAAGTTGATTGGGGTTGCTTTGTCCATGAAAATCTTTTCAAAACTCTTTCTGTATAGTTTGATTGATGGACAAATATACCATGACTTGAATGCTCAATTTGCAATCCAAGGCAAAATTTAGTTTTTTCCAAGGTCTTTCATCTCAAATTCTTTCATCAAGTATTTTGCAGTTTTCTCAAATTCATTTGGGGTTCCAATGATATTCAAATCATCAACATAAACTGCAATAATAGCGAATCCTGATTGTGATCGCTTTATGAAAACACAAGGACTAATTTGGTTGTTCTTGAACCCTTCTCTCATAAGGTATTCACTGAGACGGTTATACCACATCCTTTCATATTGTTTCAATCCATAAAGGGCCCTTTTTAGTTTTATGGAAAGTAATTGTCTAGGTTTGTGGTTTTCTGGTAGTTTTGGGGACTTTCATGTAAACGTCTGTATCGAGTGACCTATACAAATATGCAGTCACTACATCCATTAATCGCATTTGCAATCCTTTTGTGACTGTCAAACTTACCAGAAATCATTGCATCCATCAACTACTGGAGAATATGTTTCTTCATAATCAATCCCTGGAATTTGAGAAAATCCTTGGGCTACAAGTCTTGCCTTGTATCTAACTATCTCATTTTTCTCATTATGTTTTCTCACAAATACCCATTTGTATCAAACGGGTTTTACACCCGTCGATGTAAGAGTTATTTTTCGAAAACTTCTCGTTTTTCAAGTGACTTCAACTCAGCCAGCATTGCCTCCTCCCACTTTGGCCAATCACTCCCGTGTCGGCATTCTTCCACAGTTCTTGGTTCAACATCATTTTCATCAGACACAATGTCGATTGCGATGGAATTTGCAAATTCCTATTCAAATGAGTCTTGGTAGAGACGTAATTCATTGAAATTTCATTGTTATCGACGTTTTGAACATCTTGTTCATTCTCTGTAGGGTTGTCTTCTTGTTCGTCCCCTTTTGGATTATCATCATTTTCTTTACTTTCATCCACATTTGGTCTTTCTTGACCTTCTGACGGGGAAATATCATTAGTCTCATTTTCTATTCCATCCAATCTTTTCAATTTCCTTGTTTTAGAATCTTTTGAACCAAGTGGTCTCCCACGCTTTCTGCGTGCTTGGGATTCATTCTCAATGGTCTTATTATCAGTTGGGATTTCAATACGTGCAGGGGCATTTTCTGCTGGTATATGTGATTTTGTCACCTTCTTTGTGTCTACAAATGCATTAGGCAATTGATTTGGAACACTTTGTAGATGAACAATTTTCTTGACTTCTTGTTCACACATATTTGTTCGTGGGTCTAACATCAACAATTGTGTTGCATTCCAAATAAGTTCTATTTCTTTCTTGCGTGGGTCCACTTTCTCTCCCCCTAAGGCTGGGAATACTGCTTCATTAAAGTGACAGTCGGCAAATCTAGCCGTAAATAAGTCACCAGTCAATGGTTCAAGATACTTAATTATAGAGGGGGATTCAAACCCAACATAAATTCTCAGCCTTCTTTGTGGACCCATTTTTGTTCGTTGGGGTGGAGCAATGGAAACATATACAGCATAACCAAAGATTTTTAGATGTGAGATACTTGGTTCTCGACCACAAACAAGTTGTAGTGGTGAGAATTTATGATAAGTTGTAGGTCTCAATCTAATTAGTGTTGCTGCATGTATTATAGCATGTCCCCAAGCTGATGATGACAATTTTGACCTCATTAATAATGGTCTTGCAATCAATTGCAATCTCTTAATTAGTGATTCAGCTAGACCATTTTGTGTGAACATGAGGTACTGGGTGTTCAACATCAATTCCGATTGACATACAATAATCATTAAATGTTTGGGATGTAAATTCTCCAGCATTGTCGAGTCTTATTTTCTTTATTGTATGATCTAATTGTGCTCTTAATTTGATAATTTGGACAAGTAATTTTGCAAAGGCAACATTTTAGCTTGAAAGCATACTGACATGTGACCATCGTGTAAAAGCATCAACTAAAACCATGAAATATCGAAATGGTCCACAAGCCGGATTAATTGGCCCGCAAATATCTCCCTAAATTCTTTCCAAGAATTTTGGAGATTCAATAGCAATTTTGTTCATGGATGGTCTTATTATTAATTTGCCAAGTGAACAAGTGAACATGCAGAGCATGTCAACTCATTCGATCGAGGAATTTTGACATTTCTTATTGAATGTCCAATTGAATTCGCTATTATTCTTTGCAACATCCCAGTTGCTAGATGTCCCAAACGATCATGCCATAAAATAATCAAATGTTTGTCATCTAACTTCTGGTTAGATATCATATTGATTTCCACAGGTTGTATGTTTATACGATATAACCCTGAAAAATATGCTGGCAATTTCTCATAAATGTGTTTCTTGCCATATTTCCCTGTCGTGAGGCATAAATACTCCTTTTGACCTGTTGTCATTGTTTCTAAATGATAGCCATTTTGATGTACATCTTTAAAGCTTATGAGATTTCTTCGAGATTTACTCGAGTATAAAACATTATTGATCATCAATTTTGTTCTATTTGGAAGCATTATACAAGCCTTTTCAGATCCTTTAATTAATTTTGCTGACCCAGAAATAGTGTTTACATTTGCCTGAAACAATTTTAGTTGTGAAAAATATTTCCTATCCTTTAAGATAGTGTGTGTTGTTCCACTGTCCAAAAGGACTGATATTCGGAACCAACTTCAGGCATATCCATATCTTCATAAAATAAATATGAGATTAGTTTAGAATAATATCATACAAACTTTTATTGATGATAGAAATTAAGAGTACATGATTAGTCATTTAAAATACAGTACATAACAGAAAATACATTAAAACGTAGTATATATTACATTAGTAGATGGGTTATTTAAGCATTGTTATTTTCTCCAAAGATGAAATCATTCCCAATTTCAACATTGTCCATGAAGAAATCGGACACATCAAGGGTAGGACATGGAGCATTTTCTTCATTAACATAATTTGCTTCTGCATTTTTCTCTTTGCCTTTTACAGAAGCCTGGTAAAGGTCTACTAAATGTTTGGCCGTACGACAACTACGTCCCCCTGTCATGCCACATCTGTAACATGTGTCTTTTCCTTTTGAAAGAGTTTGTTTGTGGCTTTCAGATGACTGTCCCTTTTGTTTTTCAAAATTTTTGAAATTACTGTTTCTTTGAAAATTATTTCTACCACGTCCTCAGCCTCGTCCGCGATAATTTCCACGGCCTCTTCCACGGCCATTGTAATTTTCACGTCCACCTCTAAGTGTAGCATTTGCCTCGAGTGGATAAGAACTTGTTGCATTTGCCTCATTATGAGTGGCCAAAGACCCAGTTGGTCTAAGATTATAATTTTTCAACAAAAGATCACTATTTTGTTCTGCAACAAACAATACACTTTTTTAAAACCTCTTTCACGATATTGTTCTTGTAACAGTATGTTGCTTGCATGAAAGGTATTGAGTGTTTTTTCAATCATCTGTTCATCGGTGACTGGATGATCACAGTATCTCAATATAGATACTATCTCATGCATGATTGAATTGTAATCAATTACGGATTTGAAATCCTGGAACCGTAAATTTGTCCAGTCAAATAATGCCTTAGGAAGGAGCACCCTTTTGTGGTGTCCAAATCTTTCATTAAGGCAATCCCATAATTCTTTGGGATCTTCAACCATCATGTACTCAGTTTTAAGACCTTCATGTAAATGATGCCTTAGTAACACTAAGGCTTTTGCCTTTTCTTATTCAGTAACAGGTTTTTCAACCGTCATTGTAGAAGTGGTAGTATCAGTTGTTTGACCAGAAGGACTTTTATTATATTTAACAATGTGCTCCAACAACCCCTTGAGCTTTTAAATTCATCATGACATCCACTTTCCATTCCAAAAATTTCTTTCTAGATAAATCTAGGATGCTGAATTGTCTTTTCATAAGATCTCCCATTTTAACTATAACAAATCATGTGATGATTAGTTTATAATAATAAATCATATGTACAACACATATGTTTAATTATTCCATATTTATAGTTTGTTAATGACACACGTGATAATTAAATTTATTTAACGATAATAAACCATAAATAATATAATTCTTTTCGCCCCCTTGGTTTATTATTGTGAGTAATTATATAATTAGGCAAAAATAAATCATATTAGTCGCATAAATGGCAAAACGACGACGACAACAACAACAACAACAGTAGTAATTATAATTATAATAATAATGGTAATATTATACAATGATGATTAACAACAAAACAACATAATAAAACAAAAACACGCTTTTAATCTACTAAACCGACAAAATAAACAAACTTCACTTGTACATAATGACAAAAATTAATAGTGCTACTAACATAACTACAAGCGCCATAATTAGAAGAAGATATTGTTTTATCTTCCTTAAATCTTCTTTAAAGGTGAAGGTGTGGGTGTTTTGAGTGTTTTGGTTGCCGTCGGGGAACATATTGGAGAAGAAGGAGTGAATTTTTTTTTTTTTTTGGGTGATTTTTTTTAGATAAAAAAATGGGAAAGGATAAAGGATTTGTGGTGAAAATCGGAGGAAAATCTACCTTTTATAGAGGTATGTTTATCTGTTACTGTTTTGTACAATTGTAAAAATATCATATAACAGTTTAATGTACTGGCAATATTATGGTCCAAATATAAGTATTTATAATTGTAAAATGTTATCACATTGGGAATGCAAGCCATAGTGGTTCGAGAGCCCTAATATTTACAAAAGATCATGGGTTCGAAAACCGAAATAAACACAAAAAATGCGTAAAAGAAAGAAAAATAATAAATATAAAAAGGCTGCATCTTTTTGTCAATTTAGTTATTAATATGTACGCAAAGTTACTACAAAACAATTATAATAACTAAAATTAAATTTTACATAAAAAAGGTGAGTATGTAATATCAACATGCATAAATCAAACAAAAACCGAACTACCAACATGAATAAAAATAAGGGGAGATAGTAATGAATTCATAAGTTATAAGAGAATATTTTTCACCGATGTTTTGCCTCCTTTTTTTTGTGATATATAATACAGTAAATATTTGAGTTTCTGGTATAGAGGATCCCAAAATATGGGTACCTATAGAGCATACTCCTCAAAGCATTTAGAACTAGATAGTATTTATTTGTTATAATTTTGATAAGTAGGTATAATATACCTGACTAGGAATTGGTGCTGATAACGTGTTAAAAGATGACTTTCTAACTATAGAATGGTATTGTATGTTTGTGAAAATAGAAGAGAGTAAAAGAACAAATAAAAAAGTCGGTTGTTATTTTTTACTTCTTCTTCCATAGTTCACAAGATAGTGAACTTATTTATAGGTAAATATTGCCATTAAAATATTATACATGATTGTACTTTTAGACAAATTATTGTCCATAATAAATTCATGTGATGAGCTATATATATATATATATATATATATATATATATATATATATATATTGACCCATTACAAATAGGCACACAAATTAAGAAACAGTGGACTAAAAAGCTAAAAGACCAAGCTACCCCTGTACACTAACATTCCCCTTCACTGACTTTTCAGCCTCACCACCACAGCCCCTTACTCCACCACCACATCCCCTCACGCCGCCACCACAATCCCTATGCCACCACCAAATTAACGCCCCACACGCCGCCACCACAGCCACCGTACCCTCTCACTCCACCACTAGCCCCCTATGCCACCACCACAACCATCATACCCTCCTCAAACTTGAAAAAATCACATCTAGCTACACCGTCGTACATACCACCGCAAAAATAAAGGAATAAGAGGAGAGAGAAAATATCCAACAACAACCATCGTATACATGATTACATGAGCACTATTTAAGAAAATAAAAGCTTGGAGGTCGAATTAGGCTATGGTGGTTTTGGATCTGGAACTTTTGGCCAGATTCGACGGCGACGATGTAATGAAGGCGGAGGTTGCTAGTCAGCGATGATGTAATTAAGCCGGTTTATGAGCGCGAGGGTCTTGAGTGGAAGAGGGAGGAGTCTTATTGGTGAAGAGAAAAATTAAGGTAGTGATTGATGGTGGTGCGCCATGATTATGGTGGCTGCCATGGTGAAATGTGAGGAGGGAGGAAGAAGTGGGTTGTGAGTTGTGACTGAGACTGAGGTGAGAGGGGATGAGAGATGGGTAAAATGGGGTATAATATTTATTTATGTTTAAAAGTTGAGGGTAAATAAGGAAAAGTATAATGTAAAATTTGCCAAAAAAGGATACAAGTCAAGTAAAAAGAAACTTCTTAAAAAGGAATACAAGTCAAGTAATAAAGAACGGAGGAAGTATATGTTAAAAAAAATTGTAAAAAAATTGAAGCTAATGAAAGATAGTCTTCTTAATAACTTCTTTCCTTTGTGCCATACCAATTCGATTATGGTATGGATGAAAGTGAGAGTATGTTAAATGGGATGGATGAGGGTGGTTTTTAGACCTGGCAAATGGGCCGTTCAGGTCGAGTATGGGTCGGGTCAATTTCAAGTCGAGTCATTTCAGGTCAGTTAACATTCGGGTTTTGTATGGGTCGAGTCGAGTCATTTCGGATTTCAGGTCAGGTCAATTTCGAGTCGGGTCATTTCGCGTCAGACCATTTTTCAGGTCAAGTATATTTGGGTCATATATGGGTCATGTCAAAATCAAGTCAGGTCCTGTTTGAGTTGTTCTATTTGTGGATCAAGCTCAAATCAATAATTTTATATTTAGTTATTGTTATAATAAGAACTACCAAACCAGTTTATGAGCTTAGCTACGGTTAAAGATGAACAATTTGAGTTATTTTTGGTATTAGACATTTAGTTCAATTATAAAGTAATTTTAGTTAGGGATATTTAGGATATCGGGTTTGTTCGGGTTAATTTCAGGTATCGGGTTTGTTCCGGTCAAACACTTCAGGTCAATTTCAGGTCGGGTCAACTTCGGGTCGAGTCAGTTAGGGTGTCGGGCTAGGATCATATCAACTCCATTTTCGGGTCGGGTATGGGTCGGGTCAATTTCGGGTTTCGGGTCGTTTTTTGGGTCAATTTCGGGTCATGGGTCGGGTCATTCAAGTCGGGTCATCGGGTCTGGGTCTGGATTGCCAAGTCTAGTGGTTTTTGGGTGAGATTATGTTTTTTGGGAGAGGGGAGGTTTTGGGTGGATTGGAGGGCTGGTTTCGGAATGGGTTTAGGGTTGCGATGGTTGTAGGGTGGGTGCCGCCAGGTGGTGGTAGTTGACGTGCAGAGTTGTGGTGGTGTACGTATGGTATCGGTGAGCAGTGGGGGTGGTGAGACAGTGATGGTATAATGATGGTGTGTGGTAGTTCAAGAAAGGGAATTGAAATACCATGGGGTTGTGGGGAATTAAAGTAGAGGACTTTGGGGGAATGAAGAAGGGTAAAGGGAATGATTAAATTGGATTACAAACACAACAAAGGAATTTACCCTTGTTCATTCCCTTTCCCTTATTCGATTATCCCTAACCAAATGGCCCCTAATTCTTTTTCTAAATAACCATTCCTTTGCTTCTATGATTTCACTCGATCACAATATATGCTTCCTCTATGTCTATTTCTGCAACTTGAAGTTAAGCATTTCCATAGCATAAATAAACACAAACAAACATCTACGGAGTATTTGAATTAGACAAAAAGTTTAAACACAAATAATCCCTATAAATCCCCAAAAACTAAGTGCAATACATTAATCTTGTTCTTGTTAATTAAGGGGTTTCCAATTTATTTTTCTTTTTTTTTATAATTAAAAAATAATTACCTCAAGTAAATGACTACTCATGGCTGCCTTGTGCTCATTAGCCATAAAAATAACATGTGATTTGGGTTTTGTTGGATTAATGAATCGTGTTCTTGCTAATTTGGGGTTTCCATTTTATTTTTGTTTTTTAAAATTAAAATAGTTACCTCAAGTAAATAATTACCTAGGGTTTCTCCAAAATTTTGGCTGTTTAGGCCGGAAATAGTCTAATTTCTTCGGAAATTAGACTATTTCCGACACTTTTCCCTTAATTTTCTTTAGTTTTGCAATTTAGTTTTCAATAAATCTACACGAGTAGTGTAGATATTTGTCCGTCTCCCTATGGTGGAGTGTCTCCTTGTGGTGGAGTCGTTAGTTTTTGTTAGTTTAGTTGTTTGTTTATGTTTAGGGTTTGTTCGTGTGTTAGGGTATATCAAAAAGGTAATCATCTTTTGCCCTATTGTCATTTCGTTGGTAAAGATTTGTTCGGGATCGCAACGGTTGTCGAGTTTTCAAATGCGTTCAAACGAATCAGATGGAGATTATCCTTACGGCTACAACAAATCGTTAGACCGTCTCTTCGAAAAGGCTGTATATTCCACCGATGTGTACGAGAGATGTACCACAGTGCAAGATCTTTTCAACGATCGTAGCTTTGATGAAAGAAACCCTAATTTGATTCAATCTTATGTATTTGTTAATTTAGATTTCATTTGTAGATGCCGGATGACTCTTTATTAAGAAGAATTGATTTATTTCAAAAAAAAAAAAAAAAAAAAAAAAAGTAAATAATTACCTCGCCCAAAGCACTATTATAAGGAAAGAGTTTTTACCCGAACAACTTAAACCTTGACCTTAGTCGCAATATAACAAAATAACTCAATAGAATGCAAATTAGTTGTGTAG